TATAGGAATATAAATCCTTCCATTCTCCACCATTCAGTCAGAACTGAAGAACCTCTTGGATGAGAAGTGAAATGTCTTCAAGGAAGAACAAAGAAAGTCCAGTTGCCTTTTGAAAAAACATCTTTGGGATAGTCATTCAACTTTTAATTATTTTACTAGCATTTTAAAATGGTTGTTAACATCTTGTCCTTGAAAAAAACGAATGTCTTTTGTAGTATAAAGTAAAACTACAGTTTATAGATCTCATCACAGCAGATTCATTCACAAACAACTAGATTTCTGAAGAGATTTATAGCATTTGTATCATATAATTTGGCTAATGATATAAATCATGTAATCACACAAATGACACACATCAGTATAATAATGTATTATGTGTTTAACAGATATTCATGAATTAGGGACATTTCTTCCCTAAAATAGTCAGCTGAAATAGGATTTCACTATATAAAGGATTAGACCAGACATGTCAAACTCGCGACGTCACGTGACATTGCGTGACGTATCGGAGCTTTTTCTCCATTGCCGGCAATGGGGTGGGTGCAGTTTTGTCGTGGGCCGGCAGTTTAACACCCCTGGATTAGAGCAATAGGTTTTAAATCTCTTACCAGTCACACATAATGAGCTTTAGAGAGTCAGAATAAAACTGATGCTTCCAGAGCAAATTGATTGTATATACCAGTAGCTGCTCATAATAACAACTCAGGTGTATATGTGACTTTTGGGGGGGGAATCAAATTATGTGGGGTTTTTTTGCTTCCTAGCATTTTCCCCGCAAGTGCAACTGGTTTTCTGAAAGACCAAATTAGTTTTCAAATTGTATATTTGTCATCCTCCCTTAAATGTATTTTATATGTGGTCTGCTCAGTGTAGATTCATGAAGATTAATTGTCTTTATAGTTCTAAAATGGTTGAATTGCTTACATTTTATAACTGACTGATTTATCTTATGAAAAGTGCTGTTTTTTGACAGGTTATAAGTAATGCCTTGAAAGTTTGGGGTTTAGAACTAATCCTCTTCAACAGCCCAGAGTATCAGCGGCTCGGGATCAATCCTATGTAAGACTTTATTTTTTAGCCCCCTGCTTCCATTTAAAGCATCGCAACAGTTATGCAAGGGGAAAAAAACCCTCATTCTTTCCTTCAGAATACCTTTTGAAATTACTATTTCAAGTTCTGGTTTTATCTGCTCAGCATTTTCTGTTTCATATTATTGAGGCTTATGTGTTGATTTATCCTCTGAGCCTTATAACATCTCATTATCTGTAGCATTATAGAATGCTGACTTTGAATGATATGTGGCATCATATCTGCTTAATGACATCACTAGTATGTATATTAAGCATTTAAAGTGATAAATATATTTCCAAAACAATGTTATTAAATATTCTGAATTATCTGTGGATGAAAAGTTTGCATAATCTGAATCATAGATTCAGTTACTACTGTACAGTATTTTTTAAATACTAAAAATAGTAACGCTGACTAATATTTCTCCGCTCAAATATTTAATTCTGTGAATACTTTGTGTTTTATTTTCAGAAATGAAAGATCTTTTATTTGTAACTATAAAGAGCACTGGTTTACAGTTCGAAAATTAGGGAAACAGGTACGGTGGTTTCTTTATTTTTCTTCTTTAAAATCGATGTCAGGCTTGCCATTGTAATCACCTATAAATTCAGTCAAAATTGAGTGCATGTCTAGTGACAAACAATATCTATCTAACAATAGATAGATAGATAGATAGATAGATAGATAGATAGATAGATAGATAGATAGATAGATAGATAGATAGATAGAGTGGGGAAAAAAGTATTTAGTCAGCCACCAATTGTGCAAGTTCTCCCACTTAAAAAGATGAGAGAGGCCTGTAATTGACATCATAGGTAGACCTCAACTATGAGAGACAAAATGAGAAAACAAATCCAGACAATCACATTGTCTGATTTGGAAAGAATTTATTTGCAAATTATGGTGGAAAATAAGTATTTGGTCACC